CCTACGGCAACGCCGCCCCTTGCCTTTTGGAATGGTCCATGTGGCCGAGCGTTGTGGCAAGAGCTCTGCCAAGTTAGCGGACCATGTGTTCCCCCAGCCGTTGTGGAAACCCTTCGGGAACACTTGGGGGAGGATGGCGGGGGAGATCAGGAGGAGGAAGAGGAGGAGGAGGAGGAGGGGGCATTTTGGGAGCCTCTGGGGACACTCTTGGGGCCTCCTGGGAGCTTCCTGGGAGCCTTTTGGACGCATATTGGGGGCCTCCTTGGGTCTCTTGGGGGTCTTTGGGGGCTTCTCGGGGGCCTCTTTGGCCATCTTGGGGCGTTCCTGGCCCGTCTGACACCGTTGGAAGCCGTCTTGGGGACCTCTCTGGGCCGACTTGGGGCCCTCCTGGGGGTGCTCCAGGGCCGTCTTGGAGGCCATCTTGGGCGTCTTGGAGGCCTCTTGGGCCGTCTTGGGGCCCTCTTGGGGCCGTCTTGGGGGCCCCGTGGCCGTTCGTTCTGGGGCCATCTTGGATGCCTTTTGGGCGATCTTGGGGCTCTTGGGCCGTCTCGGGCCGTCGGAAGGCCGAAAACACACACATGCCAACCACAATCCTTCAAACACCGATGAACAATCAATACTGTTGGTCTCTTCGGGTCTTCCTGGAAGACCTCTTGGAGGACTCTTGGGCCGTCTTGGACCTCTTGGGGGCCTCTTGGGGGCCTCTTGGGGGCCTCTTGGGGGCCTCTTGACCGTCTTGGGGCCCTCTTGGGCCGTTTGGGGGGCCTCTTGGGCGGTGCTGGGGCCATCTTGGAGGCCTCTTGGGTCGCCTTAGGGCTGGACTGTCTCGGGCCGTCGGAAGGCAGAACAAAAGCAAATGCCAACATGTTCCGACACTGTTGGAGCATCAATGTTGTTGGCCTCTTCGGGTCTTCTTGGAGGACCTCTTGGAGGCCTCTTGGGCCGTCTTGGACCTCTTTGGGGGCCTCTTGGGGGCCTCTTGAGCCGTCGTTGGGCCCTCTAGGGGCCGTGTTGGAGGCCTCTTGGGCGGTTCTGGGGTAATGTTGGAGGCCTTTTGGGGGCCTCTTGGGCCGTCTTGGGTCATCTTGAGGCCATCTTGGGCTTGGGCCGTCTTGGGGGCCTTTTGGGCGGACTTGGAGGCATCTTGGACTCTCTGGGGCCGTCTTGGAGGCCATCTTGGACCATCTTGGAGGCCATCTTGGGCCAACGTGACCATCTCAGAGGCCATCTTGATCGTCTTGGAGATGTTTTGCGGATCGTGTGCTCGTGTATGGTCTCTTTCGGGTGGCTGGCGCGCTGGGCCGAAGCCCCAGGGGGAGTTCTTTTGGAAAGGGACCACGCCAGGCTCCCCTGTGGCAAGCCAACAGGGGGCGGCGGATCATCGAAGGGCCTTCGGCCCATCCCGCCGCTGTGCCTATGTTGTGGGTCAGAGTTCCTACGGGGTGCTTCTTGGGGTCTCGTCGGAGTGCTCTCTGGAGCCCCTTAGTGGCAGCATGGGGGCCTATGGGGAACTCTTGGGGGGCTCTTGGGGTCTCTTGTGGGCCTCTACGGGGCCTCAAGGGGGCCTCTTGGGGGCCTCTTGTGGCCTCCTGGTGGCCCCTCGGGGTCGAGGTCTCGAAGTGTCATTTCGGGTTCCCCATCTGGCCCCCGATTGGAGCTGTCTTTGAGCCCTCTTGGGCCGTCTTGGCTCCTCTTTGGTAGTCTTGGGGCCCTCTTGGGCAGTCTTGGAGCCATCTTGGGGGCCGCGGGGGCCATCTTAGAGCGTCGGGAAGCTAAGACGGCGAGAACGCCCAAATCCTTTAACACGTTCCGGGCAAATTAACAAGGGGCACGCGTGCCAAGGATCATACAATGACGATGTGGGTCCATGGGAGATGGAGAAAACCAGGGATCGCGAGGGAGGCAGTCCTTGGCAGGCGCCGGGAAGCGTGCCGCAATTGCTGCGACACGCTGGCAGGGGACAGATTCGAAGACGGGAAGGGGCGGCTAGAAGCATGTCAGTTTGGGTATGGAGGAAGGTCGCTTGTCCTCTGTCTCGTCCTCCTTCTCCCCCTCCTCACCTCCACTTTCTCCTGTCCCGCCTCTCTTCCTCCTCCTGGTTCTCGACCTCCTCCTTGTCCTCCCCCTCTCTCCACCTTCTGGGGCGGTGCGGCGCGTGGCGGCGGAGTCGCCCTCGCCGTCGGCATGCGGCCGGGCACGCTGCGTCCTCGTCCTCCTCCTTCTCGTCCTCCTCCTCCCCCTCCACCTCCGCCTCCTCCCCCTCCCCCTCCGCTTCCTCCTCCGCCTCACCGTCCTCGCCTCCGACCCGAGGCTGGCCCAGGCAACTCATCCTCGCCTCGGGCCCGAGGCTCGCTCACCGAGCGGCGGGCGGCGGCGAGCTTCCCGGCCGCCTGGCCTGTCCGCCGGGGTCGCCTCGGAAGGGTCCCAGAGGCCCAAGACGGTCCAAGAGGCTCCAAAGAGGCCTCCAAGACAGCCCAAGAGGCCATCAAGAGGTCGTCTAGGAGGGCCCGAAGATGCCAAAATCATTGATTTTCTTTGGGTTCGGGAAGGACTTGGTCATTTGCGCCTTTTCGGCTTTCCGACGGTCCAAGACGGCCCAAGAGGCCCCCAAGATCGCCCCAAAATTGCCCAAGAGGCCCCCAAGATGGCCCCATGACGGCCCAAGAGGCCTCCAAGACGGTCCCAAGAGGGCCTCAACACGGGCCAAGAGGCCTCCAAGATGGCTAAGATTGCCTCCAAAACGGCCAAGATGGCCTCCAAGTGCCTCCAAGATGGCTTCCAAGACGGCCAACATGGCACCAAAATGCCTCCAAAACGGCCCAAAATGCACCCAAGACGGCCCAGAATAAGGGGAGAGGGGCGCAGAAGAGGAGCGGGGGGAGTGGCCCACGGTCGGGCGGAAGAAGGGGACGGGGGCGCAAGGGGGGAGCGGGGGGGGGCCCACGGTCGGTTGGAATAAGCGGAGGGGGGCGCAAGGGGGGAGCGGAGGGTGTGGCCCACGGTCGGTCGGAATAAGGGGAGGGGGGCGCAGGGAGGGAGCGGGGGGGG